AAAGAAAAAGCAGGTCCCATCACTATACTATTGAAATTAGATTTCCTCCAACTCTAACAATACCAATTGGACCAGGCCAACCCGAGTGGGCGATATAATGCAGGGGGAGACCCACAGGCCACATCCGGACATAATAATAGACTTGGGGGACAGCACCCCATCACCTGCCTCATATGGGAGTGGATGGTGCCAAGAACCAGCCTTACTAAAGCCTAAATATGGATCGACCATTTCTTTTTGTTGATATCGCTTTTGCATTGTCTCGTGCTTTGCCTGGTTCAAAACAAAAAGCTGAAAATTTCTTACTTTAAGAAATGACAAATTTTAGGATGTAAAGATGTGGTTTATCGAATGTAATGGTGAATATATTTTGTGAAATGTGAATAAATGAAAAATAAATTTTAGCGTGATGTCTTGAAATATAAATTTAATATGCATCTAATACGAATGTTATATTAAACCTTTGGGTCCCAACATGCAATTCCTCGGGAATTCTTTCTCAGTAGGGCTGTTCATAAGAATGTCAAACCCGACTAAACCGACCAACTCAGACCAACCCAACCCGAGTCGGCCGGGTTTTCATCCCTACCGGTCGGTTTCGGGTTGGGCACATACATAAATCGAAATTTTGGGTCAATTTCGGTTTTCTTGCATGAAAACCGGAACCAACCCGACCCGAACTGAACTAGTATTCTACTAGTTTGGTAGTTCCTACTTCCTAGTTTGAGTAGTTTCCTAATTCCTAATAGTCTTCTACTTTTAGACTTCTACTAGAACTAGAACTCTAGAAGGCCCATTAGGCAATTAGAATTAGAATTCAATTAGGTGTCCTTTTTTAATTTTTTACCTATATTTGAATTTAGAAGGTTTTTAAATTTTTATTTTATTGATTTACCTACTTAGATTTACCTAGTTTTTTACTCTAGAATGCCCATTATTGACACTTGTTTTTACATGGAGAATTTATTGATTTTATTCTTTACCTGAATTAAATTTAGATTTATCTTTGACTCTTGAATCTCAAATTATCAACTAATTCAGATTTTATTTGGCTTTGTACAGGAACAAAACTGAAACCGACCCAACCCGACTCAAACCAACCAGGTCGGTTTGACCTGTCAGTGGGTTAGTTTCGGTTCCCACCTTAGCTAACCCGACCAGGTCGGGTTGGTTGGAAAAATCCCAAGAAACCGACCCAACCCGACCCGTAAACACCCCTATTTCTCAGTAATGAATTCTTTGTTAATTCTACCAAAAAAAAAACTCTAAAAAATCCAGTTATGTCTTATCTCTACCCCCTTCTTACTTCTTACCTGCTCAGAATTCCCATCAAAAGTTCGTCCATGGTCAATAATTCGTCAGCCTATGCTGGTATTCTCCACACCACACATTAGTTTATACAACTATATCTCCAACATTTGTGAATAGCACAAGCTGTCAAACGTAGACAGCAAATTTTTCCCTAGATAACTTGGTTGATTGGCTCTTTGGTTAGAAAACTTTGGCTATCCACATTTGACAGCATGTGCTGTTTATGGGCTCTCTTCACCTGACACATTGGCCCATAGAAAACGATGCCCTCAATGTTATTAATGAAATAATGAGTTTATATGGGCTATATGTCATGCAAGGAGAGCCCTGTGGACAGCAGAGGTTGTCGAACCAAACAGCCATTTTTTAGTGATTCATTGGACTTTTTAGGTGAACAGACTGGTTGGTTTCTTGTTTGTTTAAGGTCATGTTTGGTATCGATATAGTTTTTTCAATAAGTAACAACAATGCTTTGGAATTCAATAAAGTACTTTGGGCTTTGTGCACATTTTTTATGTTATTTGGTGTCATTTAAGAATCACATAGGCAAAAACAAGAAAACAACAAGAAATGACATTTTGGTTCTTTCTCAATAAGTTGATTGCATAGAACCCAAAGTACGAGTGCTACTTGAAACTGTTTAAAATGGCTTGAAAAATGCTTAATAGAGAAACAACATTGATGCTAAATACATACACATGCTAAGTGTCAAATTGATAACTATTTAAGTTGACCACTTCAACAATTATAATTACGGGTGTTCACATTAAATGTCAAATCGATCAAATTGGTCTGATCTAACTCGAGTTGGTTGGCTTTTTTAAATCATCAGTCGGTTTCGATTTGTATGAAAAAATAAATCGGTAATTTGGTTCGGTTTTAGTTTTCATGTAATTATTAATTAATCCCTATCATATATGTTAAATGTTGATATATTTTATTTGTATTTTGTTTGAACTTTGAAAAAAAAAATAGTTGTTTATGATAAAAACTAAAAATGTAAAACCAATACAAATATAATACAATGGTATAATATTTAATTCAGTTTTGTTTAAATTTAAATATATATTGACAAAAAAATCAGTTTTGCATAAAAACTAATCAATTTAAATATATATTTTGATTTTGTATAAAAACAAAAAAGAAATAAAAATAGATATTTTAGTTTAAAATATATATAAAAACCGACTAAACCGATAAACCGACCCTTCATGTTTTGGTTTTGCTTAAGGGTCAGTCAATTTCGGTTTAGTCAATAAGTAAACCGACTGAATCGGATCGGTTGAAGAAAATGACTCAAACCGACCCAACCCGACCAATGGACACCCCTAACTATAATAAAACAAGCTAACCCTAGCTCCAATTAAGACTGTAACAAGATTGGATTTAATATGTTCCTAAATCAAATTTTGATTTATTTATATTGATTCAAATTGAATATTTGACTATGCATTGGATTCAATGTTTAACACTAGTAATAAATTAAACTAAAAATGTGAATTTTAAATGAAAATAATAAAATAAGCTAGAAACAAAGTTGAAATTTGTATTTCATGAACAAAATGGCATGAATAATACATTTTAATTTTATGCAAATATAAGCATAAATTGAAATGTTCAAATATTATTGGATTGTTTTGTTCCTCTAGAATCAAACGCTCTTTGGACCTCGGTCATAATCAGCAAATACGAAAAGAACGCCAACGGTTGGGTTGGAAAGGTATTTGCTCCATTTATGATATCTTTATCAAATTCTGGACTGATCTTTGGTGGGGAGAAAACACTCTAGCCAACAGCTTTCCTCGTCTTTTCAATCTCTCCCAAAACAGAGAAGCTACTTTAGCCTCTTGTGTTTCAGACTCAATCCCTGCTTCAGACTGGAACCTAAACCTAAGAAGACACTTAAGAGATGTGCAGATTGAGGGTCTTGCTGAATTCCTACATGCCTTAAGAGAGGTCTATGTTTCCCCTCCAAACCAAGACCAACAAATATGGAAGCTCCATCCAATCGGTAAGTTCACATCTAATTCCTTTTTCAGAGCCTTGGTATCGGGTGACACAAACTATGGGTTCCTTTGTAGAAGAGTTTGGATTGCTCACATACCCTCTAGAATCTCTTTTTTTGTGTGGGAGGCTTGCTTGAGAAAAATAAACACCTGTGATTTATGATTTATTACAGAAAAAGCACAAAGGACGAAGGTTGTACATTTCTCCCCATGTCTGTATCATTTGTCTCAGTAATGGTGAGTCCAAGTGGGGTATAGCTAGGTTTTCCCCGAACACATAGAAGATTTCTTTAGACAATGGCAAGGAAGTGGACTAGGTAAACGGGGGAGAATATACTAACATACATTAGCTCAAGCAGTAACGTGGGGTGTTTGGGAAGAAAGAAACAGTCGCATTTTCGATAATAGAGCAAGCTAGATCACTTGGAGATCTCTCATATAATATATTTGTGCAATCAGTGGGTGTAGAATTGGGAAAGCTTTAAAGGAATATCCATAATGAACATGCTTCAGCAGAATGTAGTGAAAGTGTTGTTCTCCTCTCCCAGTCCTTCAAGAGGGAAGACCTAGGCTTCACTGATCTAACAATCAAAGGAGACTCCAACAACATGATAAAGTGGTTAGGGGAGAGGTAAGGAGGTCCATGGAGACTGGCCCACTATTTAAATGAGGCTAAAGATCTATTAAATTCCTCATCTGTAAACCTTTGTTTGATTCCTAGGGAATTAAACTCTGTAGCTGATAGTTTGGATTCTTTGTACAGTGGTAGAAATATGCCTTTATAACCTGTGTAACATGATTGTACATCATCTCATGTAATCTCTGTTTTCTCAATCAAGTTAACCACGTTTCTCAAAAAAGTATATCCATATTTGAACCTATTGTAGATGCCTAGATGGAACCACTTTTCTCAAAAAATGTGTATCCATATTTGAACCTATTGTAGATGGGCCATATCTGATGTAGTGTTGTATCCTCAGGTGAGAAACACATTGTCTCTTCCTTCAGCCAAAAAAACATAGGTTGGGGGAGGCTTTTAACCTACGGGGATTATTTTATTTTACTTTCGCTTATGGGTTAGAGTTGAGATATACGATATAACATCAACCATGACCCATCAAACCTTCAAAAACATCAAATATGAAAACAAAATTAGAAAAATTGTTAAGATTAATGTGTAAGTAGGTTTATGAAATAAAGATTAAAGGAATGAAAAGTATCAATAAACTTTTATATAAGTGGCCTATAACCCAATAGCTTAAGTTTATAAATAGCATCCATCTATTTTGTATAAATCTTCTGTATACAACACATTGCACCACATATAATTTCTTGTAGTAGCATATGAGCACTTGTAAGTTATGGTAAATGGGCATGCTGCCTTCATTTCATTCACATCGTGCGCATTGAACATGGTTTTCTCCCCCNCCCCCCCCCACCCCAGTGCCTATCATCCGCTTCCAGAATCAGCGGGACGCTGGAAACAGTGGAAGATGCCATTTTGAAGATAGAGTAACGCTCAGATTATAATATTTATATTGGTATCAAATAAAACCATATCCAACCCATTGGATACCCGATCCATTTAAACCCTCGGATATTCGATTATTCGCTAGTGCGTGTGCGTTTGTTTTTCATTTTTTAAGCAGCACTGGTAGCTCTTATCCAAGCGTAAAAGATGAGTTAGGAGAGAAAAGGTCGGATATCAATATTGAATATTCTGGCAAACGAGGAGGTGATCTCTAATTTCATGGTTCTTCACTTGCTCTGCCACAGCCCACACACTTTCATCCGCACATGAAACCAAAACTTGCTCATCCCCATCCCATCCTTACCAAACTGTAGCAGAACAGAAGGATGAAAGCCAAAAGTGGACAGAGTCAATCAACGCATTGAGATTTGAGATATTAATAGTAATTTACATCCAAAAGTGACCCACCCACCTACCAAACCTAACCCAACCATTATCTCGAACCCTTGGCTTGACCCTTCTTGAAAAACACGGACGGACTTCCTCAGTCGTCTCTCTACCTCTGTCTTCCTTCTGGCTATGTTTACTCCGACTCGCTATCCATATTCCCCATTGCCTTCAGGCCCCTTGGTCTCTGGTATAAGCATTGAAGATACTTGTGATCAGTGAGACTTCCATCAATTAGGTTTTGGTAATTTCTAGTAATACAGTACAAAATAGTTTACCTTCTTAGATATCTTTTTCTCTCTAACCTCGTACCGCTCCAGGGTAAGATCGCACAACCATGATCCAGGGCACACAAGCTGCACACAAGTTAATTATATTATGAATAAACAAAGCTACAAAAAACAAAACCATTCACGAAAAATCACACCTGACCCATCTATAACAACTAAGTGCTTTCAACCGTCGGATTGGAATTTGGAAAACCACGTGTTTTATAATATTGTGTTAGGTGCTAGGTTCCGGTCTGATGGTTGACATCTCAACACCAAATTGCTCTCCTGCTCCTTTCTTTAATCGTTTTTCCTTTCTACAAAAATACAATGAAGTAGCTTATCTGTAGCTTCCAGTTTATTTATTTATGAATCATGATGATGATGAGTTGATGACAGTTCAGATTATTTATATAACATGATCGAAATCCGGAGGCGCAGATAGTGGGATTCTATTCACGCCCTTTTTTTTCTTACTTTTCGGATGCACTTTTGGACTTTAGGGTTTCGACCAGTTCATCGTCGCTTTACGTTTTTATTGTTTGGTTTACAGGTCGGGATCTCCCTACACCTTCCTTTAATTTTCTGTTGCACTCATCCTAAATTTCAATTCAGTCCATGACTATTATCAAAAGAAAGAGTCCATGACAGGTTTTGATTGCTTCCTTCAGCAGTCTAGACCGTACAGTTGACAATGCTGCCAACAGCCAATGTCACGAGCCTTTGCGAGCATGGAACATTAGCCCGTGCAGTCAAAGTATTGAACTTGGACGGCTTAAAACAAGTGATCATTATTTGACGATCCACAAAACAGAAGTGATCATCTAATGCAACCAACGTCCCCCCTTAATTTGTCTTTTCTGTTGGATACCCAAACAACCACCCCCGAAAGAAAACGATGCCAGCTGCAGCAGTTTCGCCGAGGCATCCGCATTCAGAATTCAGATACAATAATAAAAAGGGATAAATTACTTCTACGTCCCCTGTAGTTTCGGTCAAACTTTAAGACCCTCCTCACGTTTACTTTTCAGTTGTATGTCGTATCCCCCTAGCCTTGACCGAGATCGGTTTCAGTCAGTGCAAGTCCTATTGAAACACCGTTCGAACAGCCTTTAATAGTTGTTCGAACCGATACCGCACTGACTGAATCCGGTTTCGGCCTTGACCGCGAGCATAATATGATATAATATTTTACAAAATTTTGTCGATAATGAAATGTCAGTTTTATTTTTAAAATTGATAAAAGTAACGGCATTTGTGATTTTTAAACACAGTTTTACTTTTCACCTTAAGACTGAAAACTTTAGTGCTTCCTTCAAATAAAAAAAGCTGACGGCAGGTTAGTGAAGGGGTTGAAAAAGTAAAAATGAGGAGGTATAAGCAATTAAACACAAAATAAAATCAGATCGGAAAAAAGAAAAGAAGAAATGAGCTTTTTCGCATTTCCCAGCAGGAAAAAGCGAACAACAAAATCATGTATTTTCCATTTTTCCAGTTTTATTCATTTTGTCTAATATTCGGCTAAGGAATATATGCAGATCTTGAAAATAAATAACAAAAAAAAAAAAAAACTGAGAAGGTGGGGGGGGCTTACGTTGAGGGTTCTCTGGATGAACTTGGCTCGTTTCTTGGGCCTCTGTGGGAGCTTGGACCCCTTAAAGGTTAAGAAATCTTCCTCCTTCTCTTTGTTGGTGAGGGAAATCACGAACTTGGGAGGCCAAACGGGGATCGCATCGCTACCTGACGACGAATTCCCTTTCTTAATATCATGCGCCGTCTCTGAGGATGCCGACGCTCCGGCTACAGCATTATTATGATCGTCGCCGTTCCTGTGGTTGCTGTTGCTATGGTTATGGTTGTTCGCTTTCTTATCCTGCGCTCTCTCATCTCCTCTGTCGAGAGAAGAGAAGGAGCTCCTTACGCCGTTGCTTTGCCCTTTCATGCCACAAGACGGTTCCGAATTCCTGAAGCAAACACAAAATAATACGCATATCACGTACGAACCAGAAACATTAGAAAAAAGTGGGGGTGGGTTCGACTACATTGATTATTATTATATTATTCTGGAATCTGGAATCATAAATTCCTAATCTTTTCTATGAACAAAATTACAGAAATACCCTTGAAGGAGAGTGACTAATCCGATGATCGATGGCCGCTGCCTAAAAACACTTGTAAGAATGTCGATGAGGTGTTCATTTTCGCGTGGAAGAATGAAGATAAGGAGATGGAGCTCTTCTATCTCTCTCGCTCGGCCCTTCTTTCCTATGGTTGATTTTCTTATGCCGTACACCAAAGAATAAAGAAGATTTTGGGTCGGATATTTGGAAGAGAGACTTCGAAAAAAATAAAATAAAAAATAGAAAGCAAGGCAATGCAACAACACATTCGCGATGTGACAATGCCAGGGGATTGCTGCCCGCCGCTTAGTGACAGACTGCAGCAGCCGTTGGATCGACGTAAGCTCTTTTAACTCCGAGCTGCGCCCAAAGTACGTGTCCAAATCAAAACCCACTTGAGCCTCCAGAATGTAAGTTGGATGCAGCTAAAATGAGATTGACCGCGGTTCACGTAAAGAAAGGGAAATAACGGAAAAGCAAAACAGAAGCCTTAGGTCCAATGTCCAAAAAAAAGCATTTGTTGCAAATTCAAAGGGAGATCCGGAGTTCCGGACTCTCAGAAGTCAGAAACGGTGTTAGATCATTTATTTCGTTTTACTGTGTTTAGATGAATGGAATTGAAAGGGCCAAACTATCGCATGACACGTGAGACACTACTTGCTTGTAGAGTTATATGTAATTCATAAATCATAACACTCAAAACCTGGGATAAAGTCATAAAAACCGTGAATGACGGACGGCCCACTAGATGTATTGATGTGGCCCCATGTGGAAATGGGATGCAGAAGTGATAATAAGGCGGGTCGCGGAACGCATCAAAGGCCGTGGTTTTACGGTTTTAGCCCATAACATCTCAAAAATGAGTTGCTGGACGATTTAGTGTAGAGATGGTAATTTTCTCCATCCCGACGGATCCATGGGTCAGGAATGGAAACGGAGATTAATAATATATTTATAAATATATATTATTATATTATATATATAAATATATCAAAATATATTAAAAACATTATTTATAATAAATAAATTTATTTTTTTTTTAAATATTATTATTTAAAAAAATTAAAGATTCGAATTTTCATGAGAAACCATGCCTATCGAGAATCAGGGATAAAAGAATAATTTTATCAGAACCAGGGGATGAAGGTTAATTTCAGGATCGGGGCGGGGACGGGAAATACCCCGCCCGTTGCCATTCCTATTTCAGTGGCTCCCACAAACCACGCCACCACGGTTTCATGGCGCAGACAACCCACGACGCGCAAACATAAGTAAACAACATAGTACAGACACCAATGGTAGTACCTCGGGGAGAATAGAGGATTGACGTCAGAATTTCAACAATATCGGATGACCAGATCCTGATCCATACCGTTTTTGAACGGAGGAGGAAGAAGGAAATCAATTAAGGATACCGTTTACACAATAGAACAGGTCACACTGAGTCACTGACACAGTCACAGACAGAGTAAAGAGGGAAGGTAGTCAGGTGCGCCACCGCTAGCCGCAAGGATTGCTAATAAAGATTTGTTTTTCACTTTCCAGTTTTGATGGGTAAATAAATTGACTAACCTAGGGTTGTTCTTAATCACCGACATCTCACAATAGTACAATTAACATTTCTTAACAAAATTAGGTGAAGACAATAGGCTCTGTTTTTACTTTTTTACCTAAAACCCCCACCCCTACGGGCCCTACCCCTACCTCAGTAATCCGGTGCCCCACCTCTACATCTTTACAATATAAAAGCGAAACCCAGGATCAGACCGGATGAACCAGACCACGCCCTACAAGACGACAACATGACATAGGAAGAAGGGGATCATGAGACCAAGAGCAACCCGCCCTTCGAGAAAAATCAGCTACTCCCATTGGCGTAGCATTGACCATTGAGCTTAAACCGTCAATCACGGACCTTTATATATTGCTGCGGCCCCACCTTGATTGGGGTGAAATGACGTTAAGGTGGGCCCAAATCAAACATCGAAGGCTGTAATCTCACGATTTTAGCCCAAGAGCCGCCTTGGAGACTGGCGTAGTTGATTTCTTATACATCAGATCATGCAAACGGAATAATAAATAAATAGGGTACACGTATCTAAAGCCAGTTGCATCAGATCATGTAATCAAGTTTCTTTCTCCAAAAGACCAAAACCAAAACGGAACGAACAGAACTGAACTCAACAGAAATGGTCCATAAAAAAAATACAGGCGGAGGTGAGGGGGTACCTGAGGATGCGATAGCTTGGAGGCGGTGGGGGCGACGAGGGCGAAAGTCGACGACTGTTGGTGGAGATGGTGGTTGCGCGGTTTGAACTATCCTTCTCAGTTCTAACGACGCGCCGGTCTACTCGAACCGTGGTCCTATTATCAGTGGACTCGCCTTTTTTAACCTGAATCTTTATACACCGTAGTCGCTTCCGGCTTCCCCACTGCAACACGAAGTCCGTCGTCGTCGTCGTCTCTGGATTCGTTCTACACACTCCTTCTCCGTTGTTCTTCATTGCCTCCCTTTCCATCTCTTCTTTTTCTTTCTACATAGACATATAATGAAATAAATTAATTGGAAACAATTAACTTCGTTGGCGTTTCTCTCCCACGCATTTCTTTTGTTTTGCTTCTTTTCTAAGCCTCGCAGAGTCGCAACCAGTCTCCTTACTTTGCAGGCCAAGAAACCCCAAAACAAAATTGAATAAATCTCCAACTCAAATAGAAAAAAACGGAAGCAGCGGCAGAAAAATAAGAGAAACAAATAGGATCAAATCAAAAGTTTTTCTCCAATATCTTCAATTACAGTTGAAAATTTAATAAAACCAATGGCTTTCCAAAACGGGACTCCCTCAAATGCAAGCAAGGGTGAGCGTGATAAAAGAACTAAGGAGGATTTGAGACATTTGATAAAACAAATCCAGATGAAAATCTCCAAAGCTTGCACTACAAAAAGAACAAATAATGAACAAATTAAAGAAAACAACAGATTGAACTATTGAAGCAAAGCCAAAAATCTAAGAGCACGAACTAGATTTCAGTCTTTGTATCTCTGCTCCAATCAAGGGAGAAAATAAAAAAAGAAACAAAAAGAGCAATTTCCGGTGATATGGTGATGACAGACCCAGAGAAAGAGAAAGGGGAAATCGTTGAATCCTTGAAATAATCACATTACCTGAACGGCTGAAAGTATGAACTTTGTGTATAGAATCTTTGCTTCGGAATTGAGTTCTACCCACGGAAATCCGAATCCCTTCAACCACTATACGACAGTGAAGTAGGGGAAGAGAAGGGAACAAATGAAATAAAGGTCAGAGGAGTTTCATTTCACGTGACCGCAATATTCCCTCTACCGATCTTCAGCGCTGCAAAAAATCATAACTTCACCTCGAATCAATAGGCTTTTCACTTCAATTTCTTCCATCGTTCTAGAAGAGAAGTCTCGGATTCATTATTAAAAAAATCGCAATTGAATACAATCTCTTCTCAGTTCTTAGTCTCCCAACTCTGTCAAACCGAGATCAGGACCAGACATCTAAAAAATTGCAATATTTGAGAGCCTGCAAGGCGGCCTCTATACCTCACAATCTCAGATTCGGAATCATCAGAACCAGAAATTTTGCGAGGTACTATACTCTGTTTTCTGAGACAGACCTCAAATTTCTCTTGGCAACCTCTCCTATCTCCTCGAAATGTAACTGTAAAACCAAAAGTAAAAGAAAAATGAAAACGAGAGTTCTTTACACAGCGTCATTTAAAGAAGTCAAATACGAAAATGAACTCTGTTCTGCAAAACAAACCTGAATTCGGATTCTTCCCCTATTCTCTGAAAAAATCATCAAAGAACAGCAAAATCTCTACAATTAACGATGTTTCAATCTTATTCCTCTTTCTCTCTTAGTTATCTAGGCACAAAACTCCAGGAAAACATAAATTAATGACAAAAACTTGGAAGAAGAACTCCTGATCGTTGAAGAACAAAAAGAATTTCGCCATTTTAGAATCCAATTCCTCTTACTTTCTTCTATTTTTGCTTCCCTCTCCACAATCTTTTGTTTTAGTCTCTCAGACTTGAAGAATCGAGAAAATAAAATCTTGAGAGCTTGAGAAAGAGAGACAGAGTGCGGCAAAAAACTGGAGAGAGCTTCTGATGGAACGAAATGCCCTCTCTCCCTTCCAAACCAGATTTTATACCCTCCGTCCCCCGTTGCTCCCTCCCTTTTTCTCCGTTATTGTTCAACCGTCTCACCACTTGTAAAATCGAACAACATCGGCCGTCCGTTGCCCATCTAACCGTTCTAAATAGTTTCTCTGTATCTCCTCTCGTTACGGAAAACGTTACAGCGTTTAGGGCTTAGAGGCTTGAAGCCTGGAAATCGCAGACATGGCACCTAAGTACTGGACGACGTTAATGGATCTTGCCGGCATCATAGACGCCGTTAATATTCCGTTTCTTCAATTTATCCATCTGCGGTTAATTAATAATTTGTCCACAGTTCACCTCTCGGGAGAAGCTGGGTGCCCGGTCCCACCAAACAAACCTCACGTGATCAAACCTGTGCGGTGTGGTTATGGATGTCAAAAAATTATCGATGTAAATCCGATCAAGTTCAGGTACTAAGATTCAACGTTTTAAAAAACGACTCGGAAACGGAACCGTTCTGGTCATCGGTTTTTGGCTCAATGGTCCAATCATTCGGTTCAAATGAATGGTCCATTCTGACAAATAAATTAAAAAATAAAAAATAATTAAAAACGAAATTTGGTCAAAACTGTTGAAATGGATTGATGGCCTGAGTCAACGGTTTGTTGACTTTTTCAATGGTTTTTGACCAAAAACTGGGTTTGGGGTAAAATGGAATCACTTGCCTAGACGGTCCCCGGGCTATATGGTTTGACCATCCAGGTCAACGATGGTTTCGAAAACCTCGCTCAGGTTTATTTAGGTATATTGTCGGGTTTGGGTTTCAATTCTTTGACTTGGACATTAGGTTGGGGTATGATTGACCTCATCATATCATGATACCCTCACTAAATAAGGGTGTCAATGGACCAGTTTTGGGTTGAACCCAACCCAAATCAAAATCAATTTGAACATATTGAAACGACGAATAAAACATAGAATTGAACCGATTTAAACTTAATGGTTCAAAGTATTTATTGGATTGGACCTAGTCCATCATAATGGATTTATATTGAATTAGGTCGGATTGAAGCAATATCTAGTTTATTAATAGAAGATTAGAATACATGTGTCAATGAATCAAGTTTTGGTTGGAACCAATTTAAACAAATTAGACGATCCAGTCATTGAATTGGACCAGTCCAAAATGGTTTAAAATATTTTTAGCACCTAATTTTTGCTCAGTCCCTTCACCCTACCTCTTCGTACCCCCTCTTACACCCCAAAAACTTGGAAACACAATAAAATCAACTTGAGACTTCCCAAAACCCAAAATACCCTCTTCTGACACAATCCACAAGACAAATAAGAACCTTGAGATCAATACTAACGTCCAATCAGACATCATCCCTAGACTTTGAAAACTATAACCAAGTTACACATCAATTTCCATGACTAAACTACAAAGATCCACTATTCATCATGCCAACTCCCTTTTTAACGGTCCTGATTTATGCGATGTTCAAACTCCAATTTCTCAAAACCAAATCCAACGCACCCATCACCTCAAGATCACTAGGAAGCAATCAACAAGTGAATCCTACCACAAACCTACGATAATCAACCGCAAAAACATCAAGATCACTAGTAATTTTATCTTCACAATCAACCCCATTAATGAAATATGGAGCAAAGTAATGAATACAATTTTAGACAATGTTTTAAAAAACGACTCGGAATCGGAACCATTCTGGTGGTTTTCATGTCGACGGTTCGATCATTGGTCCGAATGGATGGCTCATTCTAACAAAAATATTAAAAATATATAAAAATAATAATTAAAATAAAAATGACCAAAACCATTGAATGGGTCAAACGGGTCGACAGTTCGATTGCCCGGGTCAAAGAATTGTTGACCAATTCAATGGTTTGTAGCTAAGAATCGGGTTTGGAGTAAAACAGAACTGGTTGCTTGGATGATTCCCAGGCCAAACGGTCCAACTATTCAGGTCAATGGAGGTTGATGAGTGTGGATTTGGCCCTCCAATAACATTGTGACACATGGCACTATCGCCGACCTGGCGACCTGGCACTGACGCCAACCTGGCGACCTGCCTTCACCGTCGACCTGGCGACCAGCCTTTATGCCGAACTAGTGACCTCGACCACAACTCAAGCCGGATAAAAGCACCTCGTCCAGGGCTGACCTGCAGCATCTCGTCACTGGCCGAAGTGACCTCGACACAAGGAGCGACCTCCCTCGAGGGCGTGCCGGCCTGACTGAGGTCCAGGTGGCGACCTGCGAAACGTGCTCGCCGAAAATTTCGGCACGCATATCCCAACACTCCCACAATCCTTGGAAGTTGGCCCACGGATCGAACGTTCTGGAGGATGGTCAACGTGCATGGCGGTTGCCTCCGGGAATCTTGGAGGCACTTAGGCAACCTCTCGGAAATCTAGGATACGACGCATGAAGCCCATGCCAAGCAATGCCTATATAAAGGCACCAACCCCAATGACATGGAGGGGGCAAATAAGCACATTCTAACTCTCTTACTTTGTGATTTTTTAGCTCGCAATCTACTATGAGAGTACTAACTTAATCATCGGAGCGACCTTGCCGGGTTAGTCACCTCAGGTCCTCTAACATTGATTCCTTGCAGGTTTTTCTAAAGAACTACATAGCTCAACAATCAATCCAGCTCGTCACCATTCAGTCAGGCATCTGAGTCATCTCTCCAGCTCGGCGTAGTCAGCTCGGCACCTAATTTGCCCCCAGCTCGGTCTGGTCAGCTCAACACCTAATCTGCCTCCAGCTCGCCACCAGTTAGATCGGTACCTAAACTGCCTCCAGCTCGGCCTAGTCAACTCGGCATCCAAGTCCTCATCCAGCAAAAGTTCTCCACTTTGGCCTCCGAATCATCAGTCACTTGGAAGCAGACCAAAGGATGAGGTACTTAGCCCAAAAATCGATTCATCAATTGGCGTCGTCTATGGGAAACGCTACAAGAAGCTAAGTTCTCATCTTCTGAAAGGCTAAGTCCTCTTGTTCTGGAAAGCTAAGTTTTCACCTTTTAGAAACTAAAGCTCTCACTTTCTAATTTCCATCTTTTATGAACTCAAACGCACCTTTGATCAGCATCACACCCAGAACAAATACCGATTACTGGGGGGCAAAAACATCAACACCCAGCTCGACGTATTCATGTCGATGCAGAACAGGTAGCAGCAGAATGACCTTGACAACTAGCAATCCGGCGACAGGCACCTCGGTGTAAGGATGTCCTCGTAGGTTGAGCCAATCATGGTTCCCGCAGGAAGTTGATGGCCAACAGACTAAGCACCTCTGCCGACTTTATTTCAACTCGGATAAAACCTCATCAGTCCTCTTCGCGAGGTACCCTCTACAAGATGAGCTATCCGTGGCTTCCGCGGGAGTTGGCGGCCAACGGACTGCATGGACGCCCTTGCCGGTTGAGCCTTCCAAAGCTCCCGTGCGAGCTGGTGACCTAAAGTCAGTAGTGCTACCCCCGATAGGTCGAGCTCCCAGTAGCTTCTTGTAGGAGTGGGTGAACGGCATCACTAACGAGGCTGATGCAGCACAGTCGTAGCTCTAAGGTGTCGAGCTGGTAAAAGACCTCGGCACCACATAAGACCCAGTCGCCTCTTCGGCATGGGCAAAATCAAGGGTAAGGAGAATGGACTGTGAGTCGCTCCCAGAGCCTAAGGGCTAAGGTGGCAAGCTGATAAAAGACCTCGACACCACGTGAAACCTAATCGCCTCTTTTGCATGGACGAAATATAAAGCAAGTTCGCGTTCAGCACGAAGGAAAGACTAGTTTGCTCTCAGCACCATGATGTATGCAAACTTGATTTCTTCATAGCCAACCTCCACCTCGGTTGCGGGCTCTGCATCAAACTCACTGGCTGGGACCAACTCGAAGGACGCTGCGTCAAAATCTACCTAGGTGGAGCGACCTGATAAAGCAGTCACACAGAACCCCCTCTTAAGGACGACATGATGAGCTTCACTCTTGAGGTACTTAGCTGGATTGCAGAACCTCTTGATGGTCACATCCCTAATAAGATAGATGTCCTCGAGGTACCTGCTCCACCTCTCCTCGAGCAGATGAATTCGCTCTCGGGCCCCGAAAATAAAGATGGTGAGGTCCTACACAAGGCTGCAAACACTTGGACTCTTCCGACCTGAGAAGAAAATTGAATCGACGCTTGCGAGCTCATCGAATTAGTCATTCTAGGCCAAAAGGAGCAATCTACTCCCTTCGCTGAGTTACTTTCAGCTCGGGAGTGGGGGGCAATTAATGAGGACGGATTTGGCCCTCCAATAACATTGTGACACATGGCACTATCGCTGACCTGGCGACCTGCCTTCACCGTCGACCTGGCGACCAGCCTTTATGTCAAACTAGCGACCTCAACCACAACTTAGGTCGAATAGAAGCACCTCGTCCAAGGCTGACCTACAGCATCTCGTCACTGGCCGAAGTGACCTTGACGCAAGGAGCGACCTCCCTCGAGGGCGTGCCAGCTTGACTAAGGTCCAGATGGCGACCTGCAAGACGTGCTTGCCAACAAATTTGGCATGCATATCCCAACACTCCCACGATCCTTGGAAGTTGGCCCACGGATCGAACGTTCCAGAGGATGGTCAACATGCATGGCGGTTGCCTCCGGGAATCTCGGAGCCACTTAGGCGACCTCTCGGAAATTTCGGATACGGTGCGTGAAGCCCACGCTAAACAATGCCATGGAGGGGGCAAGTAAGCACATTCTAGCTCTCATACGTTGTGATTTTTTAGCTCGCAATCTACTATGAAAGTATTAACTTAATCATCGAAGCGACCTCACCGGGTTAGTCACCCCGGGTCATCTAACATTGATTCCTTGCAGGTTTTTCTAAAGAACTACATAGCTCAACAATCAATCCAGTTCGTCACCATTCAGTCAAGCATCCGAGTCACCTCTCCAGCTCGGCCTAGTCAATTCAACACCTAATTTGCCGCCAGCTCGGCCTGGTCAGCTCGGCACCTAATCTACCTCTAGCTCGGCCTAGTCAACTCGGCATCCAGGTCTTCATCCAGCAAAAGTTCTCCACTTTGGCCTTCGAGTCATCGGTCATTTGGAAGCAGACCAAATGATGAGGTACTTAGCCCAAAAATTAATTCATTAGCGGTCAAAAACCATGTTTTTAGACATTGTTTTAAGAATCTCCCGTAGGAGATATGAAATTATTGTGTGCATTATCCACTGCAAGACATCGATTATAGTTAAATTTCTTAGGCCAAGATCATCATCGATTTGAATCTTCGGTCATTAAAGGAGAGGAAGACCTCTATAGAAGGGCCAAATGAAATCCAAGCATGCATTAAGCAATTCCTGAAATAAAATAATAAGAGATTCTGAAATTCCAATTTAGTGGCAGTAGTGCGTGAAGGATATGGCCCGAAGGAGACAATTATTGAAGAGGGGTAGTTTGGTCATCCAATGATACCACGGCATGTGGCATTGCAAAACAGGGGAGTGACACCTCGAAACCACGTAAGCAGACCCCAGGAGCATCTCGAACACTTCACAAGTACAACAAAGACATCGATACCACTTTGGTGTCAAACTGTAAACAACTAGGCAAGACCTCAAGTTGGCATAAGAGGTGACCTGCTTTCACCAATTTGACCCAACTTTAGTTAGTGACCTGCCTGACGTTCCGAGCGACCTTCCCCTTAAGTAAACTATCACCTCCAAATTCCCCAAGATCACGACGCCATGCTGATTATCACTCCACCCACTTTGGGCCGGATTAGACAAACATTACTTGCTTACACAAAATCCACCTCTAGGTATGAAACCACTTCTGAATTAGACAGGTCGGAAATCCCAAGCGTCGGTAGCTCGCTTATACATAAGAGCCTCACCTCCAATCTTAGGTACGCACAATTTAACACTCGAACTCCCTGACTCTTTCTTGCTTTATAACTCTTACAAAAATCGAATTTGCTAACTTAAAAACATGGCAATGCTCACGCCAGATAAAAATAAAATAACCCGAGTGTTCGAATTGTTCTCGCGGTAAGGAGCTACCGGATCACGTACGATCAGCTACCTTTCTGATCATGCAAGGAATCGTTACGTGGTGGAAGTAATAATTGATCAGAACCTACACCTAATCGTGACGCAATAACGGAATAAATAATGGATAAACAACGTGTAGATGATTCGGCGGGAGCGGTCTCGCTAGTAAGCTGTGCGAATCCTATCGTGTTAAGCAATCATTGGCCGCAAAAGCTACTCAATTTCGCGGCTATTGAAAAAATCTAACATGATGGGGTTCAACACACTTTATTCAGCGTGATGGCTCCCGCATGATCTTTGCTTATAACGAATGGTCCGAATCTTGATCATCACCTGGATTGTTGTTCATTTCTTCTGTATTCTTTGCTCTGTTTATTTGTGTTCTGCTGCTTCGCTTTGAATCTTTGATTTCTTTCTCCATAAATAAAAGTTGCCCACGAAGAACGAGCGAAGGATGGATACAGCCATCTTTAGATAAGATGAACGATCTTTGATCGCACGATCATTCAATGGTTTCGGAGGGAAAAAGCAAATAATAGCAACCAAACAACGCCTGCTAAGTAATTTGCAAGCACCATGACATTTCATTACATATAAACATATACAATTCCATTTATACACAGATTTATCTACATTTATAGATAATGCCTCTAAGTTAGGAATAGAACGGAACAACCATAAGTCTATAACCATTAACCAGGGGGAATAGGAGGAGAGAGATACATAGACAATTCCAATTCCAATACTAAAATATGTACATGTATATTGAGGGCTGCCACCAATATATAATTATGAGGCAGCAGCTAACAATGCTCTCCTCCTCTATGGTTGGTACCATGTCATCATCTTATCAGGCGCTAAATCCCTTACTAAGGGAGCTCCAAGAATTGATGGGAATGCTGGTGCAAGCTTGAGACGAGGCCCCAGCCATCATTTCCTTTGTAACACCAGCGTTACAGATGTTGGCAAGGGAACGCATGTGTTTCATCCCATACTGAGATAGAGATCCACAGTGTGTCTCAAATGCTCTCACCTGCACGATGGAGAGTACATACATCATTTTAGAGCAGAAACTATACCTCGAGTCATCAGTTTAATTACAGGTCTTTAAACTGAAATCAACATAATCAGCTGCACTAGTATTACATCCCTAGGCATCGTCTTCTTACCATAGTCTTAAGGCAATCCCAGTCATCTACCAGAGGCTGCCCTGCAGGCCGAACAGTCTTCAGCACTTCAGGACCTTTCTCATATCCAAACAAAAGCTTCCCGATGAGCATCATGCTGTGGTCTATGTGCATCCTGTGGGACATCATATCCAGGAACTGCTTTTGAGCTTTGAATTTCTTAGGTGAGCCTTCGGGAGCTTTCCGGAACTGGCAGAACAATATAGACATATTGTGTTTATGCTTGTGCAAAAAGCATGACAAAACTAGCCCATAGGAAGGTTGATAAGTAAATATAATTGCTAATTTGGTTTTCGTATCATCATGTGTCAGAAGTTCATCAAGAGACAGGTCATTATACAAGCCACATGGGGGAGGAGGGATTCAAATCAAACCTTGTGCCAGAAATGGAGGAGATCTGCATCACGTTGATTAACAGTCTGGATAGATGATGGCAACTTATTCTCATCAATGAAAGTATAGTTATCATTTGCAGGATTGGTTCCCATATACAAGAATAGCTCTGCACTGCTAAGTCTTAAGTCCCCATATTGCATCACATGTGAGCCAAAAGCAGAATTTCCACTTGAAGTCCTCCTTTTAACCTGCAATTACTTACAGAATGAAATCATCCAACTAACAGAAGACAAGCTAATACGGAATATAATTGTTAAAGTGTAGAGACATAAAGGTTATTTCAGGGTTTGACCTAGTTTTTGTACATTTTCAGTACATAAAGAGCTATAGCCCATCATCTGGCCAATCTCTATTAAGGAATCCTATATGCTGTAATGCCCCCAAAAATAATGTCCACTCAAACAACATTTTTATGGACACATTAGACTGTATTTTTTTCCTTCCATTCCTTTTGGGTGCAGGGGAGGATAATAAAATTAGATAGGGTGAAATTTGGGAAGTAGGGCAGGGAGATAGAAAGGATCCACCTAAAGACACTTAGAACCCAGCACAAGGCTAGGCCCAACCTGAGCTGGCCAGCCAAGCCCTAATACAACTAAGAACTCAGCTGGTTGGTCAGGTTTGGTGGTTTTCTCCCAATATTCTGCAGCTTTAACATGCATGTAACACGTAGAGTGTACACATGAATGGTACGTATACAATATAAGGTCATGAGACATTGGGCTTGGCCTACCTGAGGTGAAAACCCCACCCAGAACATAGCTGGGGTAAGGCCCAAGTTTACATATGCCCAAGCCAAGAACAAAGCCCCAAAATACAATTGAAAGACACACATGATATCAAGCTGGGTTGGATCTGTGGGGCATAAATCTGCCTTACTGCACCTTCCCTCCTACAAATAGAACACATACTTGTTTGCAAGTAGATGTGCCCTTACCGTATGTAATATTCACCCACAGGTACCAAGATGAAATGATATTCCTTGGGTACATCAGAAGTGTTTTTTTTTTTTTTTGGTCCAAGAATTCATAAAATTGCACAGATAAATCTTTACCAGTTGATACTGCTGCCTCAAACTTTCCGTCCGCAGATTGTGTACCTCACTGCCATGGGATAAACAGATCAAATAAAACAAATTAGGAAGAAGAAATGAAAACATTTCTACCCATGAGATAGGGCAGAAACTTTTACATTCTTGTTACCTTATTCAACAAAATCCATAATCATAAGCAACAGGATGAAGTAAAAGAAATGAAAACATTTCTGGACAAAACCATTCAAACATATAACACCCAAGAAAATGATCTATAAGGACAAGAAAAAAGCTTAGGGTAAATCCATCTGTTAACAGTGACTATGCCAAATGGTCATGGTTTCATGGGGTAACAATACAAGTTGATAATACAGGTAATTCAACTGTAAAGAAGTCATAGCATGTTGACCGAGTTAGCAACAATTCATACTGGCAGCTGTTCAGCCACCCTTACTGAATTTCAAATAGAAACAATTTGGGCTACAAAGCATGAGAATGCAGGATGAAGTCTGAAAGTAGCAACTTTGTGCGAGGAGGAAGAAAACAAATGAAAAAGCTTGAGGTTAGATGTCCACAAAGTCCATCCATCCCAAGACTGGATAGTCAGGACTGTATTAGGTGACTTAACATGATAGAACCAGAACAAATAACTTCCTTTCTGTCATTGAATAACACGAAAACCTCACAGATTTTGAGCTAAGCGGATTTTGCCAACCTGTCTTCCATCCAAGCAACACTATACAAGTCCCCCAAACAGGTCTCATATTCTGGGGGAGGAGGGTCTGTAAATTCTCCAGGACAGTATGTTCCCCAACTGCTCTCATCTGCATTTGATGCTGTAGTTGCATAGATATTTAAACCTTCTGGAAGGAGACCTTCAAAAATACTCCCAGACTCACAAGCTTCAAGATAAAACACCTACAGTTTTGTAGAGTCTCATCAAAAACTATTTTCCACAAACCATATAGAATGCTCAAGGCAAATTAATAGTGCAATGACCAAGTTACCAGGCTTCTATAAGTTCCTGAAGCATATTTTTTCTTTAATACATCAATCAAATCATCGGCATACAAGTACGGACTGGTTGGCATGCCTGCATTAAATTATAAAATGGACACTGAAGCTGTCAGTATCATTCTTCGAACACCTAAGAAATGGAGAAAAAACATGGATTAAATATCCAAATGAATCCTCCCTCCTAAAATAATAAGAGATACCCCTATTTTTAAAAATAAAAATCAGCACATGATAATAAAAATACTTTTAAAAGGAGTGTTCTACTATTAACTAGGATTTTGCTCCAATTATCAGAATCAGGTTTACCAAAACCAATATTCACCACTCAAATGTAAAGTCCAGTCCTGAAATTAATCACTCCACTAGCCAGTTGAAGATATTTAGTTTCCCAACCATAAATAAAATATGCAATAAAAATGAGTAGGCAGAAGCATTTTAATCTCAGAGATCTCCAGAACTACTAACCAAGCACCCCAGGACCACCATGGTCAGAATAGTATATGAAAATATGGTCATTGGGACCACTATCCACAACCTTTCCACTACCCCCTGTAAGAGCCGTTCTGTTTCCAAGAAGAACGGCAAAAAAGTTGCCAACATTGACATCTTCTCCAGTATAATCCTGCAAGGAAAAAAATTAATGATATGAAAAAGTAAATAATGACTAACATGAAAAATAAGCACTGTAGAACCTGAATGAAAAAAAAATAAAAATAACCTTTGGAACTCCTTCATAGACATCATCACCATGCGGATGGTTGATGATGATACCAGGCCTAGGGTTCTCTTCATTGAAAGCAATGTCATCATACATGAAAACAATGATATTTTCATCTTTGAGTCCACCATTCCTCAAGAGTTGGTACGCGTGGCATATATCAGCCTAAACACAAATTGAAAAGAATATATATCAGAATCACATCAAACAACTGATTTTAACCAAGGAAAAACTGATAAAACGAGACAACAACCATTATATGAGAAAACAATAAGAATTTCAAGACCTGCATCTCCTAGAATCTGAACAGAAAATAAACCTTTTATAATCAATAGCATGACCAATAGGCATGTTATTGATAGAGAAGCAATAAAAAGGGTACACTTCCTTCATCCAATTTCGTCTAATGACAGGAACACACTGATAGTTACCAATAACACCAGAGACAAATAACCAGAAGAAGTGAGCTCTCCTTGTTAGGCCTCCAATATACAGGCTGTTTAGCAGGAACATGACCAAAAAGTGTTTATTACATTGTTTCATTTTATCCATATCTAAGTTTTAATTCCATGCACTTGTTTTTCATATTAAATACAGTAATACACTCCGTTCAACTCTGATATATCTTAAATGCAATAACCCATTACCAAATACCGATTGAAGTATTAACATTTTTGCACCTTTTATATAGTTGATCTCACAATTTTTTTTAAATCAATAACAGAAAAATTTTATTAAGTACTTAAAAGATGATACAAGAGAAAAGGGGAGGGATAAGCTCTCTTAACCCTCCCCAACAAAATACACAAGCTTATAACAAAGCCCAAAACATGTTTCCCCTTCCAACCCCTTGTTGATCTCACAAATTTAGGCATACTTAAATGGATAGGGGAAAAATCCATTGATCATGAAAGCTGTTATCCACATCTCACAAAGCCATGGCAATACATGGTTTCTCCTATTTTAACACCATGGTTCATGCACTACATGGTCTGGAATCATGCTGAGAATGCAGCAGAGCTTGTAGCAGCCAGTCAGCCACAGTGACAAAATTCAAGAAACTTGCTAGCATGGTAGTTCATTAGCTACCAAAGTAGGATCATAATGTAAATTTCCCAATAAAAACTTGACCAGTACCAGTAGATCTCAAACGTAGAGTGGTTCATCTATCTTCACTTAGGCTTGCTTATTGTGTTTGTGACTCTGTATATGTGTAAGTGTGTGCATGATCTTCTGATTAATATTATTAACAGATATACTCAACATCCTACCTTCCAAATTATTTGGGGAGGGGAACAGATGTAACAACCATCCAATAACGGATGACCGTTTTATAATACCTAAGATTCAGCCCACCTTAAGTATACTAAAGCAGTTGATAAGATGTTGTGACTGCTAACATCTATCTCTTGCTATAACTAATTAGATGTAGTTAAGCTCAATTGGGAATCTGTGATCGAGATACTATCGATAACACCTGACACAAATCAGCAAAAGCTTCAGTTGAGCAAAAAGCAGGACTAATACACAAAAATACTGTTAATAGTTCCGCCAGAATCCAATCATGTACGCCTACAGATTCTCAAAGCACAACTTGAGAAAAAAACTTGAAGGAAACTACCTAGAAAATTCAGGAAAATGAAAGCATGCAGCAATTATTTAGATTAAGTAAATCGGGAAAGAAAAAAAAAAAAAAAAAGGACAAATACCCAGATTACAACAAACCTCGACTTCTGCAGGCAATGAAGAATAACACCATGTCAAATAGAAAAAAAAAAAAAAAATCTCTCAGTAATACCAGAACCATTCACCTAAAACAGGCTACCATCAAGTAATGGATAAATATAGAGGAAACAAAAACTCAAATACAAACAAAATTCAAAATCCGGGGAAGAACGAAAAGCTTCAGGCACGGAGAAAATAGGCGCGATTAGAAACAAGATATATACAATTCATCGAAGATCATTACCTGATGCCTGTAATTCCAGTAACCGTTAGATCCAGCGATGAGGACGGCCCATCTCGTTCCGGCGGAATCATCTTCGTTGTCACCGCCGCGGAGAAATTCCGACGGCAGCCTCAGCACATCGCCATCGAGATTCCGACTCTCAGCAACTATAGCAAACAGCACAAGTAAGAGACAAACGCCGCCGGTGCAACGAAACATATTGTCTCCGGCGACCAGGCTGGGTTTGAGTGATGATGGAAAAAAAATGGACAGAAAAGGAAAAAAGAAGGATTCTCAGGAGACTGATGATGAACCAATTGAGGGAAACACGGTCTTATAGGCTGATGGTTATGATTCTCGCTCCCACTTTGACCCTAATTGTTGATGACGTGGAGCGCCGTATAACCGTCGCTTTATAAGGATAATTCAGTTTGTGGGGCCCCACCGTCGGAAGGTTGTTTACTTCGTTAAGTTTTTCCAACGTCATTGATTGGCTACCTCACCTGCAACTGAACTTGCCATCGCCCAGCCTCCTGTACTACCGGGGACGGGCCCACAGAGGGGGAGGGAATCGCTATCTGTCAAACGTAGTATAGATAGTAAAATGACAGAATAGCCTTTACACTGTTTAATAAATTACAAACCATGTTAGACTGGTTAGTTACCTAATGGTCTATATCTAAGTCCAAATTCAATGTATTGCGGTTGGATAATTGGAATCTATGAATCATGCCAACTTGCCCTTTGGAAGGCTGCTTTCCCCTGCTGTCATCTCATTCTACGCGTCACTATAGGGAACAACCAGAAGCATGGTCATCCACCTAAGAGGATCGTTTGATAAGAATCTTTTGTTGGTGCATGGAGTCTTAGATTAATCGATGAGGGGAATTCTGGGATGAGATATTCCAATCCATTGATTTGTTTAAAGGAGAGTCTGATTATGATGAGGCACAGGCTGTGTGCTACTCTATACCCTGAAATAGTAAAGTCTAAACTCTAAAGTGTCAGTGAATATTCTATAGAGTGATGGGGCGGCGTATAGGCTATTAGGTAGAGTGATTCCACAAAAGTCACATCGAAATGAATTTCAGTTTCAGGAGGTGGGGATTGGCAATGGACTAATGTGGTTATTGCTTGGGCAGTTGGGCTTACCCGAAGGAAATAATGACGGTTATTTTCTTTGGCGATTAAGATTAATAAAGCGAGACAAAAGAAAACCTCCTCTCCGTCCCCGGCCCTACTTAATACTTACTTATGTAGCTGCAACGGCAGAGCTACAGCTTCTAAGCGGTGGTCATCCGTGACGCACGGACGAATTGATATTTATGGCATGTTTGGTTTGAAAGAAAAAATAAGAAAAGGAAGAGAAAGGTTAGGAAATTTATATAAAATTTGTAAAGGTTTTTTTTAACCTTTCTTTTCCTTTCCTTATTTTTTCCTTCAAACCAAACATAGCTTTAACTGTAGAATTTTAGAACTTTCATTCAGGCTAGTTTCAATTTTACCCGATACATGCGAGTCTTGATCACTTGCCAAAAAAACACGTTCTAAACCTTTACCGACATGATTTAGAATTTGTTCTATTGGTAAAAAATTCCAATTTAGGCAGTGCATTCACATTCTTTTAATTTAAAGTTTTTTACTTTTTTATGTTATTATTTTTATCGTAATTTTGTTATAAATAGAAATGAGAGAAAAATAAATTAAGGATATATTTGGTTTGCAGTTAAAATCAGAATCGGAATGGTCTATTCCCATAATCTATTTGTTTTAGACATGAATAAAACTGAGAATTAGAGTCAGTAAGAATGGGATTTCTTTCTCAAATGAGGGATAGGAAAATGACTATTCCCTCGAATGGGGGAATGTCATTCCAAATGAGAATAGAATTTTAATTCCTCTCAACCTAATAATTTGGATCGGAATAGTCTATTCCAATTCTGATTCCAAATTCTTATTTCCACCAATCAGAAGAAATTTGTTATAAGGGGTTAGAAGAATTAAGGTTATATAAAAACGATACAGTAGAGTTAATAAGAATTTATTTAAACACTAATAGTTTAATAATAGATATGGCTTAAATATAAAGGATTGATGGGATCCATGTAGCCAATGCCGTGTAGTAGATAGATATACTTTGTCCATCGCAAATATGACCAAATTTCTTGATAACCAATGTTTCCCTTCCATTTACTTAAAAACGAGCAAGCGTTCAATAGAAAGATCGGGTTGGACTTTAACCGGCACTGGTTCAGATCTCCCATACAGCTATACTTTCAATCAGTATGTGATAGAGTGATTGGACGCAAGCCACAAGTTAGCTTGTCCGGTTTGAAAATTTTTAACTACACCACGCTTTGATTAGAGTTCGGGCCCGATTAAAATTATATAGATTCATGTTCAAACCTTACCCGATTAAAATTATATAGAATCAATTTGAATTCACTTAGGCCCTATTTGCTTTTTGGGAAATACATAAGGCCCGTTTGGTGTGTCTTTTTGAGAATATCTTCTTGTAGCTCTGATAGTCAAAAAATGTATTGAGCTTTTGACATAAGATCTCAGTAGCCCAAAGATAATTTGGCAGATGCGCATTTTTACATGCATCTGCCCATGTCTTTCCGCACGAGATTAAAACGCGAAAGATGTAAATGAAGCTTCCCGAAATGGGCTTTTCGCATCTTTTTGATGCACTGTCTCTTGGCGGCTAGATCTTCCGCAAGCCAAATGGAAATAGACTGAAATTCGGTCTTCCCGGCTTGTAAACGGCCGAAAGACCGCACAGAAAGATATGCCAAATGGGCCCTTAGGTAAGTGCTGGCAACTTTTTTCCTAATGCTTTGTTTGGTTTGTGGAAAGATTTGAGTGGGATGGAAAAGGATGAAATGGGAAAATGTAAAAATTTAATTTTTGATTGTTTGGATTTACAAAGGAAAATAGTAGGAAAAGTGTCCAACACAAAACAAAGTCCACCCCTACATCCCCATTTTTTCCGTTTCATAGGCATCATCATGATGAGTAGAGGAAGTGAAGCTCTACTTGTTGCGTCTACTACTGCGAAGTGCTGCTTGAAGACCGGACCTCATTATGGTCATCGTCATCATTTCTTTGCCTTCATACCTTCTTCTGCCATTGCCGCCTCCACCATTTCCACCTCTGCCACCAGCCCCGTTAAAACCATACCCACCACTGTGTCCACCTTTGCCATCACCGTAACCATCCCTCCTATTTCCCTAAAACAAGATCCATCGAGGCTGGTCACCATCGTCTGGCGTAATCACGGATTCGTTGGGACTGGTCACCTAAAATAAGATCCCTAAAATACTTGTATCTTCAACGGTATCAATCACGGATTCAACCTTTTCTCCCTTAGCAAAGCTCCAAAGCCCTTCATCGTGCTGAACAATTTCACAAACTCCAGTTGTTTTGGCACTCTCCTAAGCCATGGATCTGATCTTAACTTTGAACAAAATGTCCAAAAAAACGTTGGAAATCCGACTGTTAGGGCATGTAGAGGTTGAAGAAGAAGAATCTCCCAAAGGCTCTATTTAAAAAGGCCCAAGATATTTTCTTGAGTATTCTCACCAGGGTCACATTGTTTTGGTGCGATCCTGATTGCACACTTTTGGGATCCTACATCCCATGTTTTTCCTCATCCCATCCCCCTATTTCCCTCAAAACAAATAAGAGTTTAAATATTCCCTTTTTCTCATTCCCATCCCACAAATCAAACGGAGCCCAAATGTTGGTAACTTTTCCCCAACTTTTCTAGGTAAATAAGAAAATGACCATTGTAGTCATAAAAAGCTATTTAAAAAAAAAAAGAAGGATAAGTTTGTCCTATTTAAGTGTTGACAACTTTCCCTCAAGTAAAAAAAAAAAAAAAAATAACTATCAAAAAAACTACGGGTATCTTGATCAATGGGAATCAATCAAAATTGAAAAAAAAAAGAAATTGTCTAAAACTAACTATGAGTTTTCAGCATTTTTCTTAAACTTACCACAACTTTTCAAAATGTCTAAAACTCACAATATCACTAATTTGACATTAAACAGACTAACAGGCGTTAATATATTACAATTTTAACCTTCATAAAAAAATATAAAAAATAAATTAGTAGGTGTTAATATATTACCATTTTAATATTTAGACATGAAAAATGGAAAAAGTTCAAAAACATATTTTCAAATATAAAATGCATAAAAATATAGAAATTACAAAAAAATATAAAAATTATAGAAATTGCAAACAAAATAAAACAAATATTTTTCAAATTATAGAAACTATAGAAATTGAAAAACAAAATCAGAAAAAAAAAATTGTAGAAAAAACACCAAAAATTTATAGATTGTAGAAAATAGAAAAATATAAAAAACAGAAATTATAAAAAACATTGAAAATTATAACAAAACATTAAAAATGCAAAAAAAAACAAGAAAATTGAAAACAGAAAAAGACAATTTTTCCTCTAACTCACCATTCAAGAGTAATTTGGTCATGAAAGTTATTATTTATGCTGACATGAATACCTCTGTTAAGAAGCATTAATAATGCACTAACGGAAGGTGTGTTTTAGAAAATAAGAACTTATTGATACGATGATTTTTAAACATTTTGAAAAGTTATGATAAATTTAAGAGAAATGTTAAAAATTCATAGTAAATTTTAAACAACTTCCCAAAAAAAAGGCACTTAACAGTATTTATATTTACTGTTACCAGGTAGAAAGTTCTGACTCCCAACTTAACATTATTTACATTTACCGTTGGTATGTACTGCCAAAACAGTAGGTCCGTCCATACTTTGGTTGAAAGCATGGTGAGACCGAGGAATCAATAAGAGGGAGCCGTGCTTCACAGGAGAAGTACCTTTCTGTGTAATGTTACAGCTACAGCCAATGTCAGAGCACCATGTGAATCCAATTCATTGAGGATCCAGCTAAGAATCTTTTTGTTTGATAGAATCTGGAATATTTTTTGACAACTGAACTTACCAAGGTTACACATTTGAGACGAGATAAGAAAAGTGGTATTAAAAGGGAAATCTCTGGGGGCCATCATCAGATGTTGGGTCTCTTTCTCTCTCTTTCTCATGTAATCACGGAGAAACCACAAAACTCACCACTGGTGGCACCCTAGACTGGAATACCTGACCATAATAACGTAGATAAGGAAGCGAACGAAGGGGTCGCATTGTTAACCAACCAAGAACCACTACTTGATATATAGATAAGCATTATCTGGACAATAATAGAAAGAGTAACTGATGACAGTAGAAAGCAATATCATCATTAAATCATATACTTCAAAGT